GGGCCCCGCCTAGAGCCGGGCGTCCATCCGTGGGACTGTCTGGAAGAGCCCCACGGTTCTTGGGGATGGCTGTCAGTCAGCGCTTTGTGCGTTTCCAGGCAGCACTGGTGAGACAGTAACCCGGAGAACTGGGTTTTGCAAGTGCAGGCCAACCCCACATTCTTCCCCTTTTTTGGGCCTTCTGAACTTGTAAAATGAATGAGGAGTGTTATCATTATGTGAGTGTGAAGAATAAGAATAAAACAGGCCCAACAGGGTGGCTCACGCCTGTAATCCCAGCACTTTGGGAGGCCAAGACGGGAGATTGCTCGAGCCCAGGAGTTCAAGACAAGCCTGGGCAACATAGCAAGACCTTGTCTCTACAAATAATAAAAAAAGTTAGCCAGGCGTGGTGACGTGTGCCTGTAGTCTCAGCTACTTGGGAGGCTGAATCGGGCGGATTGCCTGAGCCCAAGATGTCGAGACTGCAATGAGCGGTGATCCTACTGCTGTACTCCAGCCTGGACAGCCAAGTGAGCCCCTGACTCAAAAAACAGAATAAGATGGCTGTCGTTCGGTGAGCACTTACTGCAGGCCAGGTGCTATGGGCCAGGCCTCAGTACAATCTCATGCCTTTATTGGTTTACAAGTGGGGTCTCTGACACAAAGCGGTACTTGCCTAAGGCCACACAGGCGGAGGGTGAAAGAATTAGGATTCGACCCCAGCCTGGCTGACTTCAGAGCTGAGCCCAACTAATACTTGGGAACAACAAGGTCGCAGAGGCAGTGCCACTCATTTTCGGAATAACCCCAGGCAAGTCATTCCCCTCTCTGAGCCTTAGCACCCTCATCTGTAAGCTGGGTCGTTGCCAGGGCTGCTCAGGAGACACAAAAAGCCGTCAGCACCGTCCCTGGTGCATGAGTGATGGCCATGATGGTAATCGTCATCCCGCATCTGGGTGTCCCTTCGGGGATGCCTGCATCCAACGGCCCCTGCTGGCCCCGTCCCGGGCTGCTCTCTCACGGTCTGGTCTCCCCAGATTTCCCGGCTGGAGCAGACATGGGTGACCCTGCGGCAGCGACACACCGAGGGGGCCATCCTGTACGAGAAGAAGCTCAAGCCTTTTCTCAAGAGCCTCAACGAGGGCAAAGGTACCTCCCCACCTTCCTGCGCGACCTGGGACAGGTTCCAACCCTCTCCGGGCGGCGAA